TCCCCCCAGCTGTTATGAATGTGTTTATCGGATCTTTTTCCTCCTATCACTAAAATTTAACATGTGACTACTTGTATTGTTCTTACATGTCTCCTCTGTTTTTTGAAGAGCCTTCTCTGAAGTCAGACTGTGCAATGGAGAGAGCCTCACAAGCTGTCAGTCTGAAAAGGCTTTTGTCACCGATTCAGCATTGTGATGACTTCTCTGGAGGATTCATGAGATGATACATGCTAGGGAGAAAATTTATGGAAACACCATTTTTTTGGGTCATTCATAGCGGCGGTGGACCTCAAGGAAGTCCAAGACTGGTGGGTTGGAAGGTACAGTCCACTGCCTTCGGATGCATCTCTGAACTTTCCGAACCTCTTCAGCCTGTTCAGTTGGTCTGGAGACTACACAACAAGCCATCCTTGTGGGCATCCTGCCTCCAGTCAAATATCTCCTATCTCAGTAGCATTTTTACTTTGGGTCCCAGTAAGTATAAGGAAGTGCCAAGGAGCAAAAAAAACAAAATGAAAAAAAGCACAGAAGTTTGGGAGGAAGTGACCAAAGTGCTTTGAACCTTAGAAAAGGTTTGATTTGGAGTCTGAGAAAATGGAGTTCTTTCTTTATATGTATGCTCTTTAGCTCATCTCTGAAGATGGCTTAAATCTGCGATTCCCAGCCAAAGTGCCCAGAGATCATTTAAGGATACTGCCATGAAGTGCTGCCCAAGGTGAGCACTGTTACTTGTGCAAACACCTACACATCGTTTGCACAGATTTCAAGTAGAAATCTTGGTGTGGTCATCTTGAGTTCTTTGCAACAGACTTGCTCTGTTATTTTTCCAGAGTCAAAAAAAAAACAAACCCCAAAAAACCCCACAAGTGAAAGCTTAGAAGCTGGTGTTTTCCAAGGATTGCCTTGAGTCTAAAAAGGTTGAGAGCCACTGGCTTAAATGCAGCTTCAGGAATAATAAGGGGAGACTTCCAGCAATATTTTGAACATCAGGAAGAAAGTTAATCTACAGAAAAAATGTGCTGTGGATTTAAGGGGGTTTATGTTTTAAGCTGTATTTGGTTCCCAGTGATGAAACAGCTTATACCTTTTCATGGCCTCTTTTAGTGCCTCTTATTTCTGTTTCTGGCCTGAATCTACAGGCAAAGAAACCATGAAATTGAAAGCAAACACAACAAGAGTGAGTTATTTACTGTCCTTCCAAAATCAGTCCATTTTGAGGCCGTTGTTAACTTGTTCCATAACACGTGGCTCACAATGCTGCGGCTCAGCGACGGATTTCCATCTCCAGAAAGGAGCACAGAGATTGCTGAAATAATAATCTCATGTGTGAAGATGGGCACAATTGCCGATCAGTCACAGGTAAGCTTGGGTCTAGCTTGCCTTGAAGTGCCTCTCCCCACCACGCACAATATACGACGTTGGAAACGGAAGTCCCTTTTCCCCCAAAGCAGACGCAAGCTGGGAGGCCACAGTACGGTATCCCACCAGCATGTCCAGTCTGCCGTCTAGCGCAGTCATCTCCAGGTCCCCCCCGACTCGTTCGTCTTTGTCCCTGTCTGCTACATTGGCCTACACGGGATTCAGCAGTGGTGTCAGGCTGCTGTTTTTGAGTGCAGGGACCTGGTGTGGATTGGCTGTCCCCTTGGAGCCAGACAGAGGAAGCCATGCTTAACTCAGTCCAAACCGTTTTTCAATTGCCACCAGGTACCATGCCTTTTGAACACGTCGCCACTGATTTCACAGACTGTGAGTTTGTGCAGTAGGTAAGTATTGCTCTCCTCCTTTCACATGGGGAAATCTGAAGTCACAGAGGCAGGGGCTTGTCTATGGGCATGCCTATGGCCACTCAATGAGCCTGTCATCAAAAGTTGCATCTCCTGGACTTCTGCTATTACTATTGCACCACATTCCTCCTTGGGCTTGAGAAGGTCTCATCCCCTTGCTATACTCACCATTAAAAGGTGCTGGTAGCTTGGGGTGGGCATATTATTGGCATCGCAATGTGCGTCATCAGCTGAGGAGAGTGCCGTACCTGAGGACGCAGACTGTCGAGGGAATGGAGAAACAGTCAAGAAGGAAGAAAACACAACAAAAGCAGCAGGGCTGCTGTACAGCAATCAGCCGCCAACCCCTTTCAGCAGTCGGCAGAATGACTCGGGCACTGAACATCATGATTTTTCAAAGCAGGAGCAGAGACTGAGATCAAGCGTATGGCTAAGACATCTGACAGCTGGGTGGGAGGCTGATTGGCAGGTTGAAGCTACATCAACTTGTTAGATGAAAGGCAGTGAGACTGTTCAAAATAACGAGAGAGGCATAACATGGTCATAAGGAGCCCGTTGGGTGCAACTTCTGCATGGAGGGGACTAATAATGAATATTAGCTTTTCAGAGACCTTGAGGCCTGCAGAGCTGAAGAAGGGTTTTGGATAGGAGAGTGATGCATGTATTCTTGCAAAAGGCATTTGGGATATTTTTGCACTGGTTTTGCCATACAGCTTTGCCATCGCTTGCTTTAGGGCACTGGAGGCACTTCATGAACTGTCCAAAAGCATTCAGTATGCAGCTGATAAAGCCGAGGGACCAAGTGTATAGCGGGGTGGTCAGCTTCTGATCTCAGATCTAAGTTCTGGTTCTTGAAATCCAGGCCTGACCTGCAGGTCTGGTCTTTGCCTTTATTCCAGATTGGGCAGGGTGGCAATGTTCAACCCTGAAAGTGTTTTATTAATAACCACTTTACAAAGGAATATAAAGGAAAAGGGTGGTACCCAGTGGGCCAAATGTGAAGTGTAAGGATTAAGGAGGGCAGAGCAGCATGTCTGTCCCCATGGCCTTGTGCTCCTGCTCTCCATCACTGTGGGTGAAACTAAACTTCCTGGCCCTGGCTTCTTACATATTGATACTCACGGTTTCTTTATTATCTCCAGCTTCTGCTCCAGCCAGAACAGGCATAAGAGCACACACGGCAAACAAAGAAATAAAAAAAAATCCTAATCTTCCAAGAGCAAAACTTCATTACTGTCTTGTATCTGAGCATCCAAGTTCCTGCACAATCAGTGCATTAATTCTCTCTGGCCCTGCAGTTTGCATGTGCATAGAAAAAACACCCTTCTCCTCTCCCCAAGGCATCTGAGTGGGACTGTCCCATTTGACAATTAGGGGAAGGCATAGAGTGAGGAAGTGGGTTGTCCAGCATCACACAACAAGACCATGGCAGCTGGAGGGAGGACCCAAGGTCAGATCCTTCATCCCCGACAGTTAAAATTATATGGGCATTGCCTACCCTGAACCACTGGTGAATGGCACAGCTGTCATATAAAGGAGACGCTGAAGCTAATCCTATTTTTCGGTGCAAACAAAGAAAAGAAGGCAGGACCCAAGGGGCTGAGTTTTACCTCACCCCCCCCTCCCCAAATATAGTCAAACCCCACGATCGAATTCTCAGGCACATCGTAATTGTTCACAAACCCCAGAGCTCACAGAAAAGCCCTCAGCTTTAATGAGCAATTTCCAAATGACAAAGGCACAGGATTAATCAAAGCCCCTAATTATATTTCATACTGGAAAAGAAGAAAAGTGCTCAAAAGAACGGAGGGAAAAATCCACACCCTGACAGTCTGTAGTCTTTGCTAGAATTTCATATGTAAATTGGGATTTTAACTCTGCAAGGCATGGAGAACAGAGAGAAAAAATGTCTTCATTTTGTGTGTACTCATTGTGCAATGATCTCTGCCATGCTGCACATCTGGCTAAAGAACCAGCTAGCACATGGCACTATATAATATCGTGGTGAGAACACTAATCTGTCAGCTGTTAAAGTGGAAGATGCCAGGGAGATGCCAGGGATAGCTGTGGCACATCTAAAATGTGCTAAAGGGAAAAAGGGTCCATGACTCTTACAGGCCCAGTATACATGTCTGTGTTCTGGTTTGCAAAGTTTCCTTGGATTCTGTCCCCAGTTCAGCAAAGTGCACAAAGATGTAATGCACTGAGTTTAATCAAAATAGTGTATTCTACCGATTCAGTAGCAGCATATTGTTGTATTGCTTGTAGTTGATAAGACCTTTGTGCTATTTGGGGCTTTCGCTGGTAATTAGAGAATGCTCAGAACCAAAATCTGGGATCTGAACATTGCTGCCTCCCACGGCATAAGCCAATAATTGGGGTCCAAATCTTACAAATGGCCTTGGTTTTCATAATGAGCTGAAGTACAATCACAGATCAGGAAAAAAAAAAACCCAGAAAATGTGCTGAAGCTTGAAACTGGGATCTGACCACTTTGTGGCATACTACAGCTGCTTGGAAACTTCTGATGGGGCCAGGGGCAACAATTTTCATAAAATCATTGTAGGATTGTACAGGACCTTAACTGCTGTCTAGTCCAACCTCCTGCAGACATGCAGGATGCCCTGGTCTTTACTCATTCTGGACGGATGCCGTCCCAACCTCTTAAAACCTTCTAGTGATGGAGTTTCTAAAACTGCTTTGGACAGGTCCAAAACTTCTTTGCTCTTTTGGAAATGAGCTGTAACCTCTTCTGCTACTCTAGGTATTTCCAAAAATGTTGTCCTTTTTGTCTGTCTACCTAATTAGTTTTTAATTAGTCTCATTATATGCATCTATAATTTACAGTAATCACAACTGATCGTGGGTCTGAAATAAGAGGCCCAGCTGAGATTCTGCACAAATGGCCTGTAACCTCAGCCATGGCACGCCAGCCCCTGAGTTTTTGTTTCATAAATGCTCTTCTTCTGAGGATCTTAAAGCACTATACAAACATTAACTAAGGCTCAGAGCATCTTGGCAAAGTGAGTGTTGTTTGCATTTTACAGGTGAGGGATTAGCGAAATTATAAGTGACTTGTCCAAAACCTTCCAGTAAGTGGTAACGATCCCCTGCTGTAGTCAGTGGGCATACAACTCATATACAGTTATATATGATGCTGGGTATTTGAATTAGTCCCTCAGCATAATAAAGTACACCAGCAATTTTATTTTGCAGAAAACCCCAGGGAGTCGTGCTTTGACCCTGGATTGATTAAGAATGGTACCCGAGTGGGCACAGATCTGAAACTCGGGTCGACAATCACCTACTACTGCGACGGAGGCTATGAGATCGAAGGCGTCTCCACCCTGACATGCATAATGGGAGGGGATGGGAAGCCTGTCTGGAACAAACCTCGACCAACTTGTACAGGTAGGGCTGGTGGGACAAACTGAGAGACAGCAGCAAAATATCCGCGCTTGCCCCACTGAGTTTGGCTGCCATGCCAGACTACTCCCCCACACGGGCACCCCTTTCAGATAGAGCTTCTCAAAGCATATGGAGCGTTTTTTGCCCCCACAAGTATTTTTGAATGAAGAATAAAATGACTCATGGCCCAATACTGGGAAAAGACATCCTCTGCGTGTACACATCAGTTTACTGTTGCCCCTTTTTCAGGTTTCTTGCATCTTTCTATGAGGCATCTGCCAGAGAGAATGCATTGGAATAAATGGATCACTAGGCGGATCCAGCGTGGTGGAATCTGTATTCTTGGCATAGGATCTGATTCAATCTTTTCCTTAAACACATGCTGAGCAGTCCCCGTTCAGGAGCACGTGCTTTCCTGTGTCATGACCAGAGCTGAAAAGAACATAGGAAAAGTTCATTTCACAACCCGTTTCCCTGTTTTTGTCCTCCATCAAAAACGACTTTGACTAAAAGTTTCCAGCCGGATCCACTTCCAAAGAGGAGCGCGGGATGAGGCAGGGACAAGCTGGGAATATGTTGCATAGCTGGAGAGATCCATGGCGTGACCTTGCCCTGCCAGAGCCAAGACTCCACTGCTGAAAACCGTGGGGAACTCATCCCTCCAAGTTCTGCGCATTAGGATCAAAGGACTAGCAGTGGAAATCACACATTAGGCAACATACCCTACATGGCACCCACCCGCCTCGGTGGAGTGTTAATAATTCAATGTGAAGCAGCCATGCGCTCTACTTAGAATAAGCTGTGTTTTTCTTTATAGGCACTTTCAATGAGCGCCGCAGTGCCTGAAGTGTAGAATCGATCACGGATGGGGGCGGCCAGCCCTGCGCAGAATTGCAAACATGCAGCTGGACCCATCTCAAAGCAGTGGAGATGAGGGCTGATGGCAGGATGCAAGTCTTTGGCAACAGCTGTTCCAGTGATGTCTTCTCTTTTCTCTTTCAGCACCTTGCGGTGGCCAGTACACAGGGTCAGATGGAGTAGTCCTGTCTCCAAATTATCCCCAGAATTATACCAGTGGACAAATCTGCCTCTATTTTGTCGTTGTGCCAAAGGACTATGGTATGTCTCTATGGGTCAGGTTCTCAGCTGGTGTCATTCAGCAGAGCTCCGTGGAGCTATTGTCTTGCAGAGCCTGTGGAGATGAATCTGTTTCCAGCAGCTGAAAATCTGTCTGTCTCTCTCTCTTTTTTCCCACCCCCTACTCTTTTTTTGTTTATGGTTGAGTGTGGATTTATTATTGGAGGAGAAGGAAGTCGAGGGAAATTACAGCACTATTGGCTGTAAATTCTAGTCACTTAAGGAGACAGCGGATATTTTTAATATAAGAATTAGGAAAGATATCGGCCAAAAAGGAATAAAGTGTTGGCAACAATTTTGGGGAGTATTTTTTTCCCTTGCTCTCTACTGAATTTGAGCACCATGGTGAAAGTTAGTGCCATATCTTGTCACATACTACGTGCCTCCAAATAAGAGGAAGAGCACACACCAGCTGCAGATGCTTCCTCAGCCTGCTGAAGGGTTTTTAAACCCGCAAGCTTGCTAAGAAAACGTTTTTCCAACTATTTAAGCTGGTCTAATAAAAGATATCAGATTCACCAAAGAACCTTGTCTGCCCATGTCCTTAGACCAACACAGTTACAACCTGCACCCCTCCAAATAAGACATGCACTTTGTTTTTGGCAAGAGGGAATGAAGAAAAAAAGATTTTCCCAGTTATGATTGCACAGAGCAGGGGCAGAGCCTAATCTTCAGGTTCAAGCAAAACCCTTTCTTTTCTGCTTAAGTAGAAGCTGAAGCTAGAGCTGCTGCTGAAGGCTGGTCTCTGTGAGTGGTTCTGCAACTTTGAGAAGAGATAGGAGCGGTCTGTAGGGCCTTGAAATAGGAGGAGAGAGACCAGGAATAGCGAGTGGACATCAAAACTGCCTTAAGAAAGGTTAGCTTGAGTAGTGGAACAGCAAGACCATGAAAAAGGAGAGATGGTCATTAAAATCTATAAAGAGCAGTGAGTCAGTAAGTCAATTGACTCCCCCAGCTGCCGGACTAGAAATAGCACTTCTGCTCGCTGGCGCTTGATTGAAACTTTGAGTGAGGCAAGAATCAAAGTGGGGTACTACTGGGCAGAAAGACCCCTCTAAAGACACACACCCCAGTTTAGGAAGTCATATTTTGGGGGGAAGGTTCATGTGGTAAGTGAGTAAATATGGAAAATAATAATTAGTTTTAGCAGTGGTTTTCAGAGGAGCAATGGGAGCAAAACCTGTTCAGCCCAAATGTACAAATGTGTGCTTGATCTTGTGCTAACACAAGTACTGTGCATATGTATGTTCCCAACTCCATGTGTGTACTGAGAGTAGCCGAGAAATGTGTGTGTGTGTGTATATATTTATATATATATTTATATGTATGTGTGTGTGTGCTTATGGACACATATCTATAACTGCATGACTGAAAATTAATCTGATGACCTAATTTTTCTAAAAAAACAAGTTGCATATATATATATATATAGAGAGAGAGAGAGAGAGAGAGAGATGACTTTTATATTAATAGTATCAGCAGTCAAAAGCTGCTGAAATGGTATCAAGTCTTAAAATGCCATAAGCCCTAATTCAGCAAAGTGCGCTGGGCTGAATAAATACTCTGTTGTTCATGTAGTTAAGTGCTTTGCTGTATCAGGGCCTAGATTAATTACATGCGCCACCATTTTTGTTACAGACTTTGATGCTGCTTAATTTTGTGTGGTGTTAGGAGACCAGCATGATAGGCACGTTGCAAACCCCGGAGACAGCGAGCTGGATGGATATTAATATTGTTTAACATATTTTCTAGCTTAAAGTGCATTTAGGGCTCATGAAAAGCACTGCCTTGACAGCTCTGGAGAGAGAAGCCCTTTAAATTCAGGCATCATCTTGATCAGCAATTGAGTCCTTCCACATAGCCCTTTCAGTCTCTGAGCTTTCTTCCAAGGTAGCAGAGTATAAGGGTGCTACTTAGCACCGGCTTAGCGCTACTCCGTTCAGCGCATTGAGCAGCTGTTCCACAGTCGTTCCCTTCTGTTCCCACTGATGGGGGATGGATTTGAACTTTGGAGAACAGCTTGAACCGGTTAGTAGGCTCATACCATTAACCTGCTGCTATTCACTCTGATAATCCTAGCGTTAATCTTAGTAAAAAAATAAAGCAGCAAGGCAATGCTTCCTGATGGAAGAGTTTCATTTTCCCTCTACAGAACAATGATGGCCATGATAAATTCTTTCCTCCACCCACATCATTGCAATAGCTTCATCAAAAACAGTCAGGATACTGCTAGGAGTAGCTACTGGACATTTCCCATCTCCTTTTCTAGTTCCACAGGCAGCCAGTGTTGGGGGGGTGGTTCAGCCACCTTGCAGCATTTGAGCATCGAAGCCATGCTGCAAGTCCTGGATTTGCAAGTAGCAAATGTTGCAGGCTGATGAATTGCACAGTGAGAGACCTCCCAGCTTGCGAATCCGTAACTGGGCACTTACAATTTGAAAACACGTGGATCAGGGAAATAAAAAATCAAAAGCTTTGAGCCTCAGGTTCTGGAGGAAGAAAAGCCACGGTGTGTCTCGCACAAATAAATGTAAATAACACACAGGCCCTCCTGCACCAGTTAAAATATGGCCTAATTTTTTTTATTATTCTTCCCCTTTATAAGACCTACCTGGTCCTAGATGCATTCGTAATTTAAGGCAATAAAACAAGGAGCACGGGGGATGCCTTGTTGACAATCTCAGTAGAGATGTTTAGGACCAACTGTTAGAAGGAAATTCAAGTATCCTCTCAACCCGAGCCATTGTTTGAAAGATCAGTGACACTCAGGGCAGAAATGCAGCTCTTCAGAGCAGAGACCATCTTTCTATTCTGTTTGTACAAGGCTCAGCACAGCGGGGTGGCCTGGTTTACAACTAGAGCTTGCAAGAGCCATATCAATGCAAGTAATAATTATCACTGGGTGAAATTATACACCCTGTGTTATGTAGGAGGGCAGACCGGATGATTCATAATCTAATCCCTTCTGGCCTATGAATCAGTGATAAAGCATGTTGGGGAAGGCTGCTACTCATGTTTTACCTACTTTATGGATAAATACAGGGCTTCTGACTCCAGACCTGTCAGTCAGGCACTTTTCACTAATGCCAAGTTCCCATGAAGGACAAGAAAATACTGAAGCAAACAAAGCTGAAACTTCTCAGCTCGGAGGCTTGGAAGTAGGGACAATGCAGCTCAGACCCCTCCACCTGTCCTGCAATGTGCTCCCTGTCTGTTCACAGTGGTCTTCGGGCAGTTTGCCTTCTTTCAGACGGCACTTAATGACGTTATAGAGGTGCATGATGGACCGAACCAGCACGCCCGACTCCTCAGCTCGCTCTCCGGCTCCCACACAGGTGAGAAGCTACCCCTGGTTCTGGCAGGGACAGGGGAACCCACTGATGAGTGATCCTCATAACACTGACTGCAGACTCACGAGCGAGGGTGGGTTATAGGGAATAGAGCTGGTGTTGCTGAGTTGGGCAAGTCACAGAGTAGCCCCCCACCCCCAGGGCTCAGGTGGTCCCGGGGGCCAGTGCAGCCATAAAGGGAAGCACCGGGCTCCCGCGCATCTCAGGCAGGCAGGCAGGCTCCAGGAAAACAAAAAAAAGATTGCCACTTTTATTTTTTCTTGGGCAGAGCCTGCCTTCCCGGGCTGCTGCCAGGCTGCCTGCACGGGCTTCCTGCAGAGCCACGGAGCTGCACGGAGCCCGATGCTTCACTCCACGGCTGTAGGGCAGCAAATTAAAACCCCTCGGAGGCGTTTTAGTTTGCTGCACCCCAAGTCAGTTAAGGCACATTACACCACTGAATTTGCTACAGCAGCTGGAATTACTGCACAATACGCTGCTGCTGCGTGCAAACACCAGCACCATTAAAGTGGCACAAAAGCATTTAACCCGCTTTAAAGTGTCGTGCACACATGCCCCTCATTTCATCTACACATGGCCTCCGAGTGTCTCCCCAAAGTTACATGGGGCTCATTCAGTTCCCAACCAGCAGACAAATCACAAAGGTGACCTGAAGTCCCTGCCCAAAGTGATGTGTCACGTCCTTCCCCTACTGGCACATCAAGGGGCTAGAGGTTACCTTCCCTTCACTGCCCCCAGTCTTCCATCCCTTTACTTCCCCCCCGGTAGCGCTTTGTGGACTGAGTTCCCTGAGGCTGTGCAAAAGAAGCCTGTCGCATGTCATACAGCCTGTTTCACATAAAAGGGATGTGCGTGCATGCATACCATGTGGTCGCTGCAGTTAGGGTTTATGCACATGGGTGAGATGTGCATCATTAACCAGTGCATCTGAATTCTAGTTTTTCACAGCTCAGCTGGAGCTCTTTAAAAAGTGCTTTCACGAGTCACGATGAAATTCTGAGCCACGGACTAGCCCTCTCAAGACAAGATTTTTTTTTTGCTGCCTTTTTTCTACTGAAATCTTCCACATTTGCTGTCTTTTCTGAAAGAACTGCTGGAGGCAACCCTGAGCCATCCAGAGGCACGTGCTCTTACAACTCAATTCTTACTGATCCCTCTGTACTGGTTCTATCCAGCAAAATGTCATTGAGGGATCATTCCTCCTGCCTCTCTGTTCTGGGAAGGGAGTAAAATGGCTCAGTGCCTCAAAGGAAAACGTGCAGCCTTTCATTTAACACCTTGCTGTGTGGGCTAAGGCAAGACGCCTTCATGCCAGCCTTAGTAAAATGGCCTCTGTAAGTCACTTCCTCGAATGATGCTGTGACCCATATATGCCTGTCATCTGCTTTGTTCTCCCTAGGTGAATCATTGCCCTTAGCCACCACCAATCAAATCCTCATCAAATTCAGCGCCAAGGGTCAAGCCACTGCCAAAGGGTTTCATTTTGTCTACCAAGGTAGGTACAGTTGGAGGTTGGAAACACCTGCCAGGACTGGCAAATATCTAGTTGAAATAGGTGCATCATTTTTTTATTTTTTTTTTTTGCTTCTGCTGCTGTTTAAAAAAAGACCTGCGTTTGTACAAGATTTTGCAACGTCACGAGCACTGTCAACTCCTGTTGGCTTCAGTGGAACTCAGGGCTTTTATCATCTGTCCCAGCTGGCTTTGATTTCCAAAGGCAGTCAGGTACCTGTTCCCCTAGATCAGTTTAAAAACGTTAGTCCTTTGCCTAACCGATCTAGGTCCTTTTAAAGCAATGATTCTCAACTGTTTGAGACTCGAGGCACTCCTCCTTAGAGTTGAGGTGCCCCTTGGAAGATGCTGGCTCTGAGCTTTCATTCATTCTTGGACTATGGAAAAATAATGGAGCAGGTCTTCTGTTGTAAAAAATTCAGAAAAAGCCCAGTAGTTCAGAATGTTTTTTTGTCACTATGGCTTTCTATGTGAAGTCTCTGGGTTTATCCTGAGAACTGTGTGGCTCGTAGCACACCTAAGAGTGCTTATATTGTACGGCACCCTTAAAAGGATCTTGTGGCACCCCACGTACCTAAGCTGAGAATTGCCACTCTAAAGCCTCTATTCCCATGCCCGTAATATCTGAGAGGCTCTCTCACAGCAGCTGACTCAGTGTTCAGAAGGTTTTCCCCAGTGACCCTTCAGTACCTTTATCAGTATAACTGATTGATCTGCCTCTCCGTTCTGCAAAATTCCTTGCTTCCCCCCTCCCACCTGCCGTGACAGCCCCCCAGCCTCATGCAGACAAACTGATTCGGATGCATTTAAATAGGAAATATACCCATAATGTAGTGGGGAAGTAAATGAACGGCCATTATGCAGGAACGTCTCTACACAAGATGGAGAGGACATGGGAGCTGGTTGTGGGGGAGCCTTTACCTTCCCAGGTAGGAAAGGGAGTCAAGGTTTGACTCAGAGTAATCGGAGAGCCCTTCAGCTGAGTTTCATCTAATTATTGTTAAGCAACTGTCCAATCACTAATGAATTCACCAAATCAAGGGCTTTGATGAAATCAATAAAGATTACCTCCTTCCCTCCCGAGTGCGTTTTAATTACAACCCTGGGCTGCACAATCTTTCATGATTACCACATGGCGAGCGAGAGTCAAAGAACGAAATGCCCCTAATCCCGACTTGCATAGCTGGTATCTAGTGGCTTTTGTTTTCATTTAACATATACAGAGATCACCTCCTCCCCTGTTGGCCCATATCCAACCCTTTTGAATGTTAATAGCAGTTAGCAATATATGAGTGTTTACCATCTCAAAGCACTTTACTGAAGTAGTCGTGAATGAGCATTGTCCTTGGTTTACAGGTGAGCAAACTAAAGCGTAGAGGTGCTGCTTGAGTTTGTTTGTTTGCTTGTAAATGGTAATTATGGATGCCCATTTAGAAAGCTCCAGGCGTGCTAATAATTTCATTAAGCTTAAGATGGTAGTGACTTAGCATTCAGGACTCGCATACAGCCAGCCTGCGAATGAAAGCAACCACAAGCCCCTTTGGACCATACCGTTGGCTTCCCCTACCTGAAATCCTGTCTGATAAGCGGCTTTTGCAGACTTCCTGGAACAGCATCAAGTTTGTGCTAGTTCGGGCTCGTGCTGTTGGGAGAATATAGAGGCGATTATGATTTGTGTAGATTTTCAAGGAACAAGGAAGTTAAGCAAAAAGGTGCTTCCATGGTAAGCCCTATATAAATTCCTGGGGGAGGCCATTTGTACATCAGTGGCACACACACATCTATCTATGAGTTTGTGTGGATATGCATACTATTGAGACACTAATGCATTCTGTATATCAGGCCTTAATATCTGGAGACTTGTTGGGTTTTTTTTAACTTGCTGATTATTTTGCACAGGAGGCCTGGGGATGTGCAGGGTCCTGACCTTGGGTCACGAATAGGGACCTTCTCAAATCACGATTTTGGGGATTGTGCGGAAATCATGAAATCTGGCATTGCCTGCGAAATCGCACAATGCCTGCAAAATCTACGAGAAAACAAACTTTTCAAAAATAAAATGCTGGCTCCCCAGGGGAAGCCAGCGGTCCTCATGACTGCTGCAGCCCGCCAGGTGGGGGGCTGCCAGCATGAAGGGGAGACCAAGGTGGCGGCCACCATACCTTGCCACTGATTGGCTGAGAGCATTTCCTGTTGTGTGACTTCACCCCTCTCCATCAATCAGTGATGAGGGGCGGAGCCACTGGGGCCCTTCGGCCAATCAGAAGTGTGGCGGGGTGGGGGGTGGTGCCGCGATAAGCCCACGAAAATGCCAGCCAGCCCCTCGATCTGCCGGTGACATTGGCTGGCTGCCTCCTCGATTTGAGTAGACCCCCTAGTCATGAAGCAGAAAAGCATGATTGGCTCGTAACGCCACACGGGTATCACCACTCACATTCTGCTCACGCTCTTCTCCATGGTCCCCCAAGTCCAACAGGCAGGAAACTTTAAATAGCATATTGAACGCAGCCTGAATTCAGCAGGAGAGCAGCAGGGTCAGGCACGCAGGTGCGGTTGTTTCAGGAGCTTGGAGAGAGGCCAAGCACATGGTCCTTTGTCTGATGCAAAAATGCTTCAGCCCAGCTGAGGCCAAAGCTCTCCTCTTGAGCTGCAGTTCGGATCCGTGGATAGCAGTCACCTCTGATTTGCACGCGGCGGCAGGTACCCAGGTACCCGGCAGCAGACGCCTTTTTCAAAAAACACAGATGGGCTTCAGACTTTGACCCCTCCTTACTTTCCCAGTTCCTGGCTTTTGTGTGTGTGCACAGTCGTGGGGTTGCTCATCTCAAGTCTGTTTTGCTGAAGGATTTGTAAGGCCTTACGGGTACAAGACAACAGAGGGCATTGACATCAATCGCTCTGAACCAAATTGAAACCAAACAAATTAACAATATTATGTGCTTGTACTCTTTCTGTTTGTTCCTCCCTACCCAGCAGCTTGAGCCTGGAGCGCTAATAAATCTTGGAGCAACTAAGAGAAAAATATGCATTGATTTCCTACTCCACAATAATCAATGCCTTGACTTCTTTATTCTCGGGGGGGGGGGGGCATTTTTTCCACATACAGGGACGAAGGTCTGAAAACTGGTCTCTCGCGTTCTCCGTGAAGTACAGATGTTTCCAATCCCCTACCGCTCACAAGAGCATCCATTTTATAGCTGGAGCTCAGGCCATTACAGCTGCATGAGCAGCACCCATAGCCCCGTTGTCTTTTCCTTCCCTTTCTCTCTTTCTTTGAATTAAATTGTTATATTATTATAAATATAAATCGGTTTTCATTCTCATAATGAGAGGCCTAGTGGTCTGAAAGAACTGAGCCTGTTTCCCCCCAGTTCCAGTCTTGAATTCCCTTGTAGCAAGTCACTTGAGGTGTATCGTTTGAGTTAGGCGCTGGGGTTCCCTTGGTTCCTAAACCTTAACCTCTTTGTATTTTGGTTTCCCCTTTTATAAAATGACCTGTCTCATGGGAGTATTATGTGGATTCATAATTTGGAGAGACAGCTTCTTTATAAAACAAATGTCATCTAGAAAGATCCCAGTTACTGGTGTCACAAGAAACACCTGGGGAGGTGCATGGAAGGGTAGGTATAGACCAAGGTCGTGGGAACGACCATACAGTAGCATGGAGATGCTCAAGCATCTTATAAGTAAAGCTACTTATAACAGGTACAAGTGACAGTCTAGTCAAAGCAGCATGCCACTCATGTGCAAACCCATCTAAGAAGCAGGGTCAATTAGCTCATGCCGAGCTCCACACTGCTGCAGGTAGCCAGTGCCAAGCTAACTGCCCTGTAGACCATGGTACCTAGGGAGGTTTACGTGAGAAATGAAATTTCTCTCTCCTTTTTGTTCACGTGCGGATCTGACAGCATTTTGCATCTACGCTTGCCACCTCCCGTGCAGTTCTGTTGTTCATGTGGCTCTTTCACGCAGCAGCAGAGGAGAGAGGAATCAGTTGGAACAGGAAAAGGTGGTTGTAAAGCAACCAAAAATTGTCAAGGAGACTTGGGACTATGCATACTTCCAGGAACTACTTGTAGCATGTTAAAAAATGGCTGGATTTGCAGCTGCTGGTGATGCTGCAAAAGCCCATGCGCCCCTGGGAACAAGCTTAGGGATAAACAAAGATGAGGGTTTAAATACTGATGATTTGTGGGAATTAACTGGTTCTTTCTCTGGGTAGATCTACACTGCTAGCTACAGCGTATTAATACCCAGGACTCCAGATACACACCCAGGCCTGCTAACCCTGCCTGTGAGCGTACATGCTGTGGAGCTGCTTGTGACCCATATGTGTATAATGGTGTCCATATGATGTTGCTGTCACGCAGGTTTGGTGCGAGGACTTTGACTGGCGCTTTGCACATTCCCAGCAACC